GACAGAAATAGAGTGAAAGAAGAGAGAGATAACATACATTGATGTTGCAACAATCAAAGTTCATTGCCTCCCAAATTGCCAACGAAACTGCATTGAGTCCAGGAAAAGAGAATTCTCGCACGGGGATAGCGTTTCGTTGACTCTGGAACCAGGTCTCAAGAACTCTCAGAGTTCTTGTGTCCCCACTGCCGAGCGCCCCGGCTCCAGTCCGGCACCCGACCATCTGGAGGGGCGTCCGCACGCGGGTACACTCCACAGCTCCCGCAGCGGGAGGCGCAGCTGGGAGGACGTTGCGTGCTGGGCGGCTCCAGGGAGCGCGGCACCCCCCTGCCCCAGCCGCCGACAATGGTCGCGGGGCGCCTAATGAAATGACCAAACATCGAGCAGCCATTAGAGAGGTTTGAACACAGACGGCTAATTGAATCACATTGGCCGGAAGATTCTACTCGTGGGCTGGCGGTCTCCGTGGAGGGGCCAGCGAGAACAGGCATTAGCACGAGCAACTGGAGACGGGTGAGAACGAGGCTGTCTCAGAACTGTGTGGGTAAGATACGAGCTGGGGGGGGGGGGGGGGGAGAGCAGGTCAACCCTGGTTGTTAAATTGTTTGGTCAATATTGTCATTAAGTCACGTTTTTCTCTTGTCATCCGTATCTTTAGTCACGTGATCTGTGTCGTTGACCGTGAGGTTTGACTTGTCGGTCAACTTTGTTGACCATCAGCTTGAAGATTTTCTTTTCTTGGCCCCATTTATCACACGGTAGAATTAGACCTTAGACCAAAAGTTCCACCACTAGACCTTAGACCAAAATTTCCACCAGTAGAGCTTAGACCAAAAGTTCCACCACTAGACCTTAGACCAAAAGTTCCACCACTAGACCTTAGACCAAAAGTTCCACCACTAGACCTTAGACCAAAAGTTCCACCACTAGACCTTAGACCAAAAGTTCCACCACTAGACCTTAGACCAGCTAGTGTCATAGTTCCACTAGTAGATCAGCTAGCCTGAAAGTTCCACCAGTAGACCTTAGACCAGCTAGCCTGAAAGTTCCTCCAGTAGACCTTAGACCAGCTAGCCTGAAAGTTCCACCAGTAGATCAGCTAGCCTGAAAGTTCCACCAGTAGACCTTAGACCAGCTATCAAGAAAGTTCCACCAGTAGACCTTAGACCAGCTAGCCTGAAAGTTCCACCAGTAGACCTTAGACCAGCTAGCCTGAAAGTTCCACCAGTAGACCTTAGACCAGCTAGCCTGAAAGTTCCACCAGTAGACCAGCTAGCCTGAAAGTTCCACCAGCATACCTTAGACCAGCTAGCCTGAAAGTTCCACCAGTAGACCTTAGACCAGATAGCCTGAAAGTTCCATCAGTAGACCTTAGACCAGCTAGCCTGAAAGTTCCACCAGTATACCTTAGACCATCTAGCCTGAAAGTTCCACCAGTAGACCTTAGACCATCTAGCCTGAAAGTTCCACCCGTAGACCGTGGTCAGACCGGCACGTGCTATGACTCAGCAAATTAATTTTTTACGAGCCAAATGTAAATTAACACAAACAACGAAACAACATTCTAAATTGTATAGGAACCGTGTGTGGGAGATGGTGGTAGTGTGTGTGTGTGTTAGCGTGTGTGGTAGAGAGGAAGAGTTCACAACACATAAAACATCTGAGGGTGGGCTTGATTTTTTTTTCAGTACAGAAATAACAGAAGAAGGGGAAGGGGTGTGTATTTATTGTGTTAGAACCCAGAAGAAAAAAAAATTGGTGGAAATGCTTAAAGGACACGCAAGAAAATATAAAAGAACGTCCAATTCATTGAGCTCGGCCGTGGACGCAGTTTGCCTAGAGGCGAGGTCCAAAGTAAATTTGTCCCTGGTTACAATAATAACTTGAATTGGTTCCCCCGGCCCGCCTCGGGAAGGCAAACTCCCATAAAAGCCGAGGCCTGTTAAATACAACTTCTCTGACCTAGAAAAAGGACGGAGAAAAGTTGGAGAAAAAGGAGGATTTAAAGTGTAAGGTGACGTCATGTGAGGGAACTTGGGTTGTCTTTGTGGTGTTTTTGTGTGTGGGTTGGTGTCGTGTGGTGTTTAGTGTGGTGTCATGTTGTGGTGTAGTGTTCTGTGTTTGAGTATGGGGTAATGTAGGGTGTCGCGTGGTGTCCAGTGCGGTATAGTTTTCTGTGGGATTTGGTGTGTTGTATTGTAGTTTGTGTTCTTTCCACCCAAGGTTTCTTGTTTATTAGTCTCGTGCTATGTTGTGTGGTGTTATATAATTGTGTATGGTTATGTCAGTTTCATGCTGTGTTGTATAGTACTTTATTTTGTGTCGTCTAGTCTAGCTTTCTGTATTGTCTAATACATATACGTGTTTTGTCGTTTATTTGTACATTCCCGTATGTAATGTATTTGTCGTGTTATGTACTGGTGTATGTGTGTATGCAGAGCAAGCAAGGTTGTGTATCCCCCATAGTGTTGTATGTATATATGTTTGTATGTACGTATAAATTATCATCAATTATGTTAAGGCTCTATGTATGTTTTATATGTACACAAATATTGAGCTCCCTGCTATGTTAAAATTAGTCTGACGCAAACATAAGTTTTAAAAACATGAAATTTCAACAACATCGTACGGTAATAATTCTTCCATCGCGAAATATCAACATTTCCATTTCAATCCATTCTCTCTGTTTATTTAATGCATTCAGTGAATTAACAAGTAAAAACTTTTCAAAACAAAGAAAAACACCGACATTATGATTCTTAACTAAAACATACATAAATATTTGAGTACCTATTCGTGAATTTTCATTTTTCGATGAATTCAGACAATGCTTTTTCGACTTGTAAATTTTAAGTAATGTTTATATGCATTTTAATAGAAAATATAAACAAGAAAATGTTATGCCATATTAGACTCGCGACAATCTTGCAGTACGATGGCCTCACAATACCTGCCAATCAAACAGCTGGTCTGTTATTTTTCATCCGTCATTGTTGATTGGACGTCATTAATTAAACACATACCGTGACAATAATCCCTTGACTGAAAAAAGAAAAATTATATGCTGAGCGTGTGTTGAAAAAAACAACCTTACACTGCGCAAGTGTTGAAAGAATTGTTTATTTAACGTATTGCGATGATACATTGACACGGTCTATTCAACACAACAAACACCACGCTCAGGCGATTTTTTTTCACGGTTGACTGAATGAATGAATGAAGACATAGCATAAGCTTTGATCTCGCTCTACAAATGATGCACAAACAGGTAAGACAGTCGACTACAGTACGTCAAGGCCTGCATTATTTAAACTATTTTTTTGTGTGCTAAATCCCGATTCACTGCTAACCGTTTCCGGATAATTTTATGCACGAGAAAATGTCAAAATGCAAACAAAACCCGCGCGTGTTCATGTGAAGTTATGAATTATTCATCTGGGCTGACTTTTTTTTTCGGCGGAAACAACCTGTGTTTGGTAGTGATCTATTTCTGGCCCACGTGGAGTATTCTCAATGGCACACAGTGACTTCCTCCCATAATTGGATTATCTTAGGTTAGCCTTGGGTGGAAGCAGATAAAAATAAATCTGACCTAGTTTAAAGAGGCTGGCGTGGAACTCTAGTCCAAGTTTTCCAATCCAAGAAAACAAAATGGAAGCTCTTGCGTATCCGACTTTCATTGACTAGCGGCAAGTTGTTTTTTTTTTCTATCACTCTACTCCATTTTACTACTTGTTTACGCATGCGCGGTGGGTAACTCTTCCGAGCGATTACCTCTATCGCATTCCTGAATAATCGCGAATCCCATAGAATCTAACAGAGATGAATGCCAATAAACGTTGAATGAATTCCTTCTGCACTCTCCCCCTTCGGGCCCGGGTGTCAGGAGGGGGGTGGGGGAGTGTCGGGGAATAGCAAAGCACGGCTCTCAGAGGAACCTCGGAGAAACGCGGACGTTAATGGCATATTTATATTATTCATGAGCGTCTTTAACTCATTGTCTGCAAGGAAAATTAGAGCGAAGGATGCGCTTCCCTCCCAGAAAAACTAGTTAATCGTTAGCTGCTGAATTTTAACTACTCCGCGACGGTAATCGGATCCAATGAAGAAAATCGCTGAATAAATTTGCTCCTTCAACTTTTCTATCATTTTGTCCCCGGCTCTTGGGCGAGTTAGACGTGTTACTACGGTTAGAAACGGTTTCTTTCGGTAGTTTGTGTGGGAACTGTTTTATTCAGCAGTTTGAGAAAAAAGTGTACGGTGTTTTGTGATACAGGTAGGTTTTTACTTTTGTTTACCTTCTGTCGCGGCCATGTTTGTTGACTGTTTTAACGGACGTTTATTGACATTTTTACGGTGTGGTAGTGGCGGACATTTTGTATTGAGTGTAGAGATTATGAGGGTATATAGGATTACAAAATGTGAACGGAAGGATATCAGAGCTTTCTACAAATCCAGTCCAAAGTCTCCTACGTCTGCAAGATGTGTCATTGTCATGTCAGGCTCTGCTGGACCATCAAATGACAGTATATGACATCACATGACACACCTTCATTGAGACGTGCAGCTAGGTTTACTTGTAGAAAACACAAACTAATTTTTTTTTTTTAAAGTATCTTTCGTTTCACCTTTCCTAAAGCGTATAAATTAAACCGTGTATCCTGAAATCATGTTTTTAGTTTACTTATCTTGTGTAAGTAAAGATATTTGCATGTGTCATGGCCTGTGGGTGTTAGTTTGCTCTGTGTAGATTGTAGTCACGAGCTAGCAGTCACCAATCACTCGTTTAAAAACTAGTGTTGGCAGATATATTTTCAAACAAAACATTATGCGTTAAATTAATACAACAAATACATTTACTATAAAAAAACAGCTATTTTTTGTGCGGTTTATTTAAACAAAATGTCTTGGTTTCAAAAGGATAATAAACGATAATAAATAAATAAATAATTGATTGATACTTGCTGATATTTGAAATTTATTCTCTACTTCTTCCTTAGATGATCGCTGGTGAGACAATGACATCCGTACTACCTTACAGTTTCTCTGGATGGCTGCAGTACGTACACGTAGAGGATTTTAATGGAATATATTTCTAGACTAACAGTAGTGCTTTCAAAGGATTATATTTAGGTCTTACGATCATGTAAGACATTCACTAACAGGATACCGGAAATGGAGGAGCCATAGACAGGTAAGGTCACATCCGGGTCATCTTGACCTATCAGTTTTTCTGACTAAAATTATGCCCAACATTCGATAGCATTTTAAAATTGATTATTATCAGATTAACCTATAAAAAGATGCTAGTGAATGTAATTCAAGTAAGGTATCACTTAATAATACTATAAATTCACTTCAATACTTATTGTTACTAAGATTCAAAATGGCAATTACAAAACTTTTATTCTTAAAGCCTTACAATAACCATTAATTATAACCTTGGTGTCAAATATATTCTAGAAATATTGTGGGTATTGAAACAATGTATCATAACAAGGCCTTGCGAAAATTTACTTCCATATAAATATTGGAAAAATCTCAGAGTGATAGCTTTGTTGATGTGTGTTTTTGTTTGATGCTCCCAAATACTGGTCACATGATAAGCTAGCTCAAATTGACGGTCTCACCGAATGGTCATATGACAAGTTAGCCCAGGATGATGGTCTCATATACTAGTTGCATGATTAATGGTCCCAACTACCTTTCTAATGATCTCATGAAAACTTTTTTTGCCAGAAGATGTAAACTAATTTGTTTCAAAACACATTTATTCATTACTTGAGTCATGTGTTTAGCTTTCATTGTTTTTATTTTTAACAATTCCAATCCCCGAGAGAGATTAATGCTACTTCTTTATCAGAAAGATGTATTTTTAGAACATTTTAGCAATTTCAAAAAGTTAATATCAATTTGAGTTAAACAGTTTTATAGAACATGGCTAATTAAACTCACGATGTAAATATAACATAAAGCAAAATATTTTAAGTTTCTTCTCCAAATATACCAGGTTCAGTTAAACTGCTCCCTTCCTATATTTAAACACTTTAATGTGACCTTGGTGTCTGGAAAATGATATTTTTTAAAAAATGAAAATTCTCTCCCCCCCCCCCATATTTTAACAACTTCTAGTGACCTTGGTATTTAGAAAATAACACATTTAAAAAAATGATATTTCACCCCCAAATTCTTTAATAACTCAAATGAGAGTTTTAAAGAGGTTTGTCTATGAAATGTAAGCCGGGGCTCGTATACCAGGTAGGTGGTAAAGTGCTGGAACTGGATCCAGCGTCCTTATAAGCTCTCTCTCGAGTTAGGGGACAAAGCCGGCCATGGAGGGGATAAACACGGGTCTCGTCCCTGCTCTAATCTGCTGCTTAAAGGTGGCGAGTGTCTAACGTGCTACCGAGTCGGCCACTCAAGGTTTGTTAACAGACACCGACACGGCAGAGGGGAGTAGTTGGATGGGTGTGTCTAGAACACAGAGAGTCATGTGGGTGTGTCTAACACACGAGATAACGTGGGTGTGTTTAGCACACAGATAATCACGTGGGTGTGTCTAGCACACGAAATCACGTGGTGTGTTTAGAACACGATATAACGTGGGTGTATCTAGCACACAGAGAGCCACGTGGTGTGTCTGGCACACAGAGTCACGTGGGTGTGTCTAGCACACGATATTACGTGGTGTGTCTAGCACACAAACAGTGACGTGGGTGTGTCTAGCAGACAGAGAGTCACGTGGGTGTGTCTAGCACTGAATCATGTTGGTGTGTCTAGCACACAGAGAGCCAGAAGGCTTTGGCACGCTGACATATACCCGGATGTTGTATTTTACCCCGTGATATCGATGTCAACATAAGTGTTCCATAATTTCGCTTTATCCCTCATCACTAAATGACAATAACTAGCGAGAAGTAAACAGCACAATGTGGATAATTAATCCCTCAGTCACTGAGTCATTCAGTCACTTTGTGACTCAGTCACTGAAGTCCACCCATCAGTAAGTCTGTCACTCAATCACATAGTTATTCAGCCACCCAATCACTAAGTCACTCAATCCTTCAATCACTTAGTCACTCTTTATAGCTACAATTCACACACTACAATACTGAAATAAAAATAAAACCTAACTCATAACTTAGTACTGACCTTTGAAGATTTTAAACTCTAATATGAAAAGAACAGCACACGTATAAAACATGTAAAGCTCATTCCATAATAAACGCTTCAGTTACAATCATGATTCAATCAAACTCAAATAAATAAATTGAAACTGAAATACGCATTTACAAATTGGGATTACATCCTACACGACAAACTGTAATGAAATTGATTCTCCTACAGAGTTATGACTTTAAATATTCAAGGCCCGAATTATACGGTACAACATCTCTATACAAGAGGCCAAGGTTTGCCATTTTTTAAACCCCATCGTTTTAGAATGTCTCTTTATTGCTTGAGGGACCATTGGATAATCAGAGAACTTCGTTCCTAATCGAGCCACTGGACTTGACATCATCTCCTCTAATGCTCCTTCCCTCTGTCCATCCTCAATCCCCCCTCCCCCACCGTTACCTTCCCCAGCCCAGAGGCCAATTTCCATTCCGCCTCTCCATTACTACAGCAATTCCGTGTACTTCCGGTCGGTACACGCCCCCAAATGCCGGCCATATCTTCCCACTGCCGGCCTCTAGAGACGTGACCACTCGAACTGTCGGCGGCCCAGCCCCACCCCACAACGTCAGCTTCCCATTTCTGATGGCGTTAATCTCACATGGTCAGCCTTATCAAACTGGTCAGTGGAACATGAGCTGGTCAGTGGAGACGTGTAGGAGCTGGTCAGTGGAGACGTGTAGGAGCTGGTCAGTGGAGACGTGTAGGAGCTGGTCAGTGGAGACGTGTAGGAGCTGGTCAGTGGAACATGAGCTGGTCAGTGGAGACGTGTAGGAGCTGGTCAGTGGAACATGAGCTGGTCAGTAGAGACGTGTAGGAGCTGGTCAGTTGAGACGTGTAGGAGCTGGTCAGTGGAGACGTGTAGGAGCTGGTCAGTGGAGACGTGTAGGAGCTGGTCAGTGGAACATGAGCTGGTCAGTAGAGACGTGTAGGAGCTGGTCAGTTGAGACGTGTAGGAGCTGGGCAGTGGAGACGTGTAGGAGCTGGTCAGTGGAGACGTGTAGGAGCTGGTCAGTGGAACATGAGCTGGTCAGTAGAGGCGTGTAGGAGCTGGTCTGTTGAGACGTGTAGGAGCTGGACAGTGGAGACGTGTAGGAGCTGGTCAGTGGAACATGAGCTGGTCAGTGGAGACGTGTAGGAGCTGGTCAGTGGAGACGTGTAGGAGCTGGTCAGTGGAGACGTGTAGGAGCTGGTCAGTGGAGACGTGTAGGAGCTGGACAGTGGAGACGTGTAGGAGCTGGTCAGTGGAGACGTGTAGGAGCTGGACAGTGGAGACGTGTAGGAGCTGGTCAGTGGAACATGAGCTGGTCAGTGGAGACGTGTAGGAGCTGGTCAGTGGAGACGTGTAGGAGCTGGTCAGTAGAGACGTGTAGGAGCTGGTCAGTTGAGACGTGTAGGAGCTGGTCAGTTGAGACGTGTAGGAGCTGGTCAGTGGAGACGTGTAGGAGCTGGTCAGTGGAGACGTGTAGGAGCTGGACAGTGGAGACGTGTAGGAGCTGGTCAGTGGAACATGAGCTGGTCAGTTGAGACGTGTAGGAGCTGGTCAGTGGAGACGTGTAGGAGCTGGTCAGTGGAGACGTGTAGGAGCTGGTCAGTGGAACATGAGCTGGTCAGTAGAGACGTGTAGGAGCTGGTCAGTGGAGACGTGTAAGAGCTGGTCAGTGGAGACGTGTAGGAGCTGGTCAGTGGAGACGTGTAGGAGCTGGTCAGTGGAGACGTGTAGGAGCTGGTCAGTGGAACATGAGCTGGTCAGTAGAGACGTGTAGGAGCTGGTCAGTGGAGACGTGTAAGAGCTGGTCAGTGGAGACGTGTAGGAGCTGGTCAGTGGAGACGTGTAGGAGCTGGTCAGTGGAGACGTGTAGGAGCTGGTCAGTGGAACATGAGCTGGTCAGTGGAGACGTGTAGGAGCTGGTCAGTGGAGACGTGTAGGAGCTAGTCAGTGGAGACGTGTAGGAGCTGGTCAGTGGAGACGTGTAGGAACTGGTCAGTGGAGACGTGTAGGAGCTGGTCAGTGGAGACGTGTAGGAGCTGGTCAGTGGAACATGAGCTGGTCAGTGGAGACGTGTAGGAGCTGGTCAGTGGAACATGAGCTGGTCAGTAGAGACGTGTTGGAGCTGGTCAGTGGAGACGTGTAAGAGCTGGTCAGTGGAGACGTGTAGGAGCTGGTCAGTGGAGACGTGTAGGAGCTGGTCAGTGGAGACGTGTAGGAGCTGGTCAGTGGAGACGTGTAGGAGCTGGTCAGTGGAGACGTGTAGGAGCTGGTCAGTGGAGACGTGTAGGAGCTGGTCAGTGGAGACGTGTAGGAGCTGGTCAGTGGAGACGTGTAGGAGCTGGTCAGTGGAGACGTGTAGGAGCTGGTCAGTGGAGACGTGTAGGAGCTGGTCAGTGGAGACGTGTAGGAGCTGGTCAATGGAGACGTGTAGGAGCTGGACAGTGGAGACGTGTAGGAGCTGGTCAGTGGAGACGTGTAGGAGCTGGTCAGTGGAGACGTGTAGGAGCTGGTCAATGGAGACGTGTAGGAGCTGGTCAGTGGAGACGTGTAGGAGCTGGTCAGTGAAGACGTGTAGAAGCTGGTCAGTGGAACATGAACTGGTCAGTGGAGACGTGTAGGAGCTGGTCAGTGGAGACGTGTAGGAGCTGGTCAGTGGAGACGTGTAGGAGCTGGTTAGTGGAGACGTGTAGGAGCTGGTCAGTGGAGACGTGTAGGAGCTGGTCAGTGGAGACGTGTAGGAGCTGGTCAGTGGGACATGAGCTGGTCAGTAGAGACGTGTAGGAGCTTGTCAGTGGAGACGTGTAGGAGCTGGTCAGTGGAACATGAACTGGTCAGTGGAGACGTGTAGGAGCTGGTCAGTGGAGACGTGTAGGAGCTGGTCAGTGGAGACGTGTAGGAGCTGGTCAGTGGAGACGTGTGGGAGCTGGTCAGAGGAGACGTGTAGGAGCTGGTCAGTGGAGACATGTAGGAGCTGGTCAGTGGAGACGTGTAGGAGCTGGTCAGTAGAGACGTGTAGGAGCTTGTCA